AGACTTCAACACACCACTTTTGGTAAAGGACAGAACAGCTAGAAGGAAACTCAACAAAGATAAAGAAGATCAAAAGGACACAGTCAGCCAACTTAAATTCATAGACATATATAGAACACTTCACCTAACAGCTGCAAAGTACACATTCTTTTCCAACACACATAGAATGTTTTCCAGAATAGACCACATCTTAGGCCACAAAGCAACCCTCAACAAATTCCAAAACATTGAGATAATACAAAGTGTCTTCTCTGATCACATCATCAAAGTAGAAATTAATAACAAGATGAGCAAGGAAAAACAATTAATTACATGGAAAATGAATAACACTCTGCTTAAAAACCACTGGGTAACAGAAGAAATCAGAGATAGAATCAAAAAATTCCTATAATCAAAAGAGAATGAAAACATGAAATTTCAAAACCTTTGGGACACAGCAAAAGAAGTGCTCAGAGGCCAATTTATAGCCATAGTTGCACACATCATAAAGAAAGTAAGGGACAAAATCAAAACATTAGCTACACATAACAAACAAATAGAAAGAGAACAGCAAAAGAAGCCCGCAGTCACTAGAAGAAAGGAAATAATAAAGATCAGAACAGAAATAAATGCAGTAGAGAATAGAAGATCAATAGATATATTTAACAAAACCAAAAGTTGGTTCTTTGAAAGGAGTAACAGAGTCGACAAACCACTGGCCAAATTGACAAAAGAAAAGCAGGAGAGGACACAAATAACCCCAAGTACGAAATGAAATGGGGGACATTACAAAAGACCCAACTGAAATAAAAGGGAATATAACAGAGTATTATGAAAAAGTATACTCCAACAAATTTGAAAACCTAGAGGAAGTTGACAAATTTCTAGAAACACACTACCTGCCCAAACTAACACAAAATGATGTTGAAAATCTGAACAGATCCATAACAAGAGATTGAAAAGGTAATAAAAAAAAAAACTCTCAACAAAAAAAAAGCCCTGGCCCAGACAACTTCACTGAGTAATTCTACTAAACATTCAGACAAGAACTTACACCAGTACTACTCAAACTATTTCAGAAATAGAAAAGGAAGGGATACGTTCAAATTCATTCTATGAAACCAGCATTTCCCTGATACCAAAACCAGGCAAAGACACCATAAAAAAAAAGAAAATTACAAACAATATCTCTCATGAACATAGATGGAAAAATTCTCAACAAAATTCTAGCCAATAGAATTCAGCATCATATCAAAAAAA